GTTTCTCATGGAGTATATATATGTATGTGTACATAGGAAAATCAAGGAGAAAGAAGAGGTGTGCAGAGGGTATAATTTTCTTCCAAACTCAAGACCAAGGAATAAAGGGTTTCAATATAGTAATTGACTAATTATTACATGGACGCATCTCTAATAAATTGTTTAAGATGATATCATATGTAGTTCTAGTTAGGAATCACTCTTGCAAACGGCCTATGAAGTTCTAACTTCTAAATTCTAATCAACCTAGCGGCGAATCCAATTATAATATGGTTTTGGACATTCGCCAGAATACTGATATTTTAAGGTGGAACTTATTATATGTGTGAAAAATAAGTTTATATATATATATATATATATATATATATATATATATATATATATATATATATATATATATATATATANATATATATAGTAGAATTCGCTTTCTTATTTTAATTTATTTTTGGTTGAAACAGGAAGTATTTTATTAAATATTAAGGAATATTGCACAGATCGCTCACAGTCATCCCATTGGGATCGAAACTGTGAGATGTTACAAAAGTAGCAGTACTGTTAACAACATTAACATTCCCCATACTAGTTACTATATTACAAACTTCTTTGGATATGGACCTAGAGTAGGATGTCCCTTAAGCATCAGCATCAACATTCACCACAACTTCCACCATTGGTGTAGGTGCAGGAAAGATGAATGTTTTAGTCATAGTAACTAGTTTGGTACTTTCCTTAGCCAAAAGATGTGCCACCTTGTTTGCTTCCCGAAAATTATGCCTGAGCACCGGGTTCCCCAGTTGAGATATTAACCACCTGCAAGAAGAGAATATGATTTTAAATTAGATGATTAGTATGTAGTAGTTTTATTACCTCCATTGAATCAGTTTCAATTTCGAGGGGCTGAAGGATGAACTGCACTGCGGTCTGCTTCCAAGAGAAGAAGCTCCACTTGAGTATTGCTTACAACATTTTTTAGGTTTTGAAAACCTAATACCCATTGGCCATGGCTATTGCGTATGACTCCTCCCATACCTCCAATATTTTGGTTACCTTTGAAAGCTCCATTACAATTGAGCTAATAGGAGCTTGGGGTTTGTTTTTTCTAACTAATGAAGATATATGGGATGGTAAATACTAGTGAGATGTTTGAACTCGGCAACTCTATTAAGAATTTTGTAGCAGGAGACATCTTTTGATTCATTATTGAAGTTGTTGCTATTCCGGTTTAGCCAACGACGCCAAAGACAAAAGGAAAATATGTCATCCTATTCAAGTGAAGGGAAGGACCTTGCCGGTGGTGCAAGTATAATGGTGTCTAGCCAGTGCATATTATTAGTAGTCGAAGTAGTGATACCCAAACTCTATTGGCAGTGGGGCATGTTTGGAAGATATGAGTAATATTTTCCTCCCTTTTCCTACATATTGGGCATTGTTCGTCAATGTTAAGGCCTATGTGACGGAGATACGCTCTAGAGGGAAGTTTGTTGTGGTAGCATAGACATAGGAACTAGATAATTTTTCTAGGAATTTTTAGGTTCCAAATCCATGAGAAATTCAGGATGGGCTCCTTTATAGGAGTGATAAGTTTGTAAACAGATTTTAGGTTAAAAGTGTCATTACTATTGGGCCGGGAAGCCAGTATGGCTGGTCGTTAGTATTATGGGATTAGCAATGTGGATACTTTGGATAGCATTAGTGACAACTTGGAAGGGAGAAGGAAATATTAGCGAAGTTCCAAGTGGCGTTTGTGACAACATCTTTTACAATTCATTAAAATTGAGGGGTCCCTGGATGAGGGATCTTAGTGTAGGGAGGTTAGGAATCCATCTAATGTTCCATAAATTTATTGGATCACCCTTTCCTACAATCCATGCCAGTCCTTTGGCGCATAGTTTCCATTCATGCACAATTTTTTTCGATATGAAAGAGATATTTCTTGCGAGAATGTTTTCATGAATATTGGTTGATGTGAATTTCTCCCCAAGGGGTTGTGGGATTGTTATAGAGTCGCCAGGTCAGGCTAGTTAGAAGGGCTTGTTTTTTTGTGGATGCTTTAACTAAGCCAATGCTTCCTTCCTCCTTAGGTTTAATGATAACTTCCCAATTAATGAGGTGTAGGCGTCTTTTATCCTATGTAGTACCCCAGAGAAAATCTCTTTGAAGGCGGTCAATGTGTTGTAGGGTTTTTCCTGGCAGTTGAAAACATTGCATAACGTGGTTTGGAATATTGTTGAAGGTGGATTGAATTAAAGTAGCTCGTCCTGCTAGGTCTAGTCAATTTATTTTCCAATTCGCAAGCCTGGATCTCATGTTGTCTAATATGTAGAGGAAATCCTTTGGTTTTGGATACTTGCGAACAATTGAGAAACCTAAGTATTTGCCGAAACTAGTACTAATGGAGATATTATGAAGTTTGGAGATTGCCTCTTGATGGGTTTGAGGATAATTCTTAGAGAAGAGAATCATAGACTTTCGAGAGTTAATTTTTTGACCCGATAAGTTACAAAAAGTATAAAGACTGTTAGAGATAGTGGTGCATGTTTTATCATTCACCCTAGCCATCAAGGTTAGGTCATCGACAAAGAAAATGTGAGATATAGCAGGGCCTTTGGAATTAATTTTTATTGGATCCCAGTTGGCACAATCTACTTGATGGTTTATTTTCTTGACAATATTTTCATATAAAGAATGAATATATAAGGATATATTGGGTCACCTTGACGAATACCTCTAGTAGGCTTGAAGTAATTGGTGTTAGCACCTTTGGCAAGGATAGCGATGTTACTAGTGGTTATGCAATTCATAATTAAAGAGGTAAATTTTTTGTGGGAATTTGAAGTACATAAGGGTTCTATAAATAAAAGACCATTCGAGACAGTCGAAGGCCTTTCGTAGGTCTATTTTGATCATCATGTTTGCTTTGGAACCTTTCATTTTGTTAAATTTATTGATGATTTCTTGAACAAAAATACTATTATCACAAGCCCTTCTATTCTTAATGAAGCTTGCTTGGAAATGGGTGATGATTTTATCAAGGTAAGGCTTGATCCGATTAGCAATAATCTTAGTAACAACCTTATAAATGGTATTACAAAGTCCAATAGGGCGAAATATTGTTAGGTTGTTAGCGTTAGGGATCTTGGGAATTAGGCAAAAAAATATGTTATTTAGAGGTTCTGGAATGGCTTGGGTATCATAAATATTTTTTACGTAGGTAATGACTGAGTTTCCCACCACGAACCAATATTTTTGGTAAAAAAAGGGTGAGTACCATCCTGACTGGTGCCTTCATTGGTTTGAAAGAGAAGATGGCATTTACAATTTCATGGTTTGTGATAGGACCATCAAGCGCACGTAGGTCTACTTTATCAAAGGATTTAGGAGAATGAAGAATTTCTATCCAATTTGAATTTATGTGGGAGGTGGTAAAATATTGTTGAAATATTGAAGGGTATGGTTAGAAATTCCTTCAGGATCATCAATCCAATTCCCTTTCTAGTCTTTAAAGTGCGAAATTCTATTAGTTCTTCTATGATTTAAGGTCGATATATGAAACAAATTTATGCTAGCATCACCATTATTGAGCCAATTGACTCTCGATGTGAGTTTCCAAAAATTCTCTTCCAACCTAAGAATCTCATTATAATCATTAATAAGCTGTATTCCGATTTTAAGAGGAAGTCACTAGAAGGATACTTAAGAGAATTTTGGATACCATTGATTCTAGCAAGAAGTTTTCTCTTCTTGTGGAATATGTTGCCAAAGACTTCTTTATTCCGTCGGGAGGCTTCAATGTTAAAGAAAAATAAGGTATTTTCAAAGGGTCTATTCCTCCAACAATTTTCAACTAGGTTCAAGAAGTAAGGATGAGAGCACCATATTGTTTCTAGAT